TACCAAGTGGACACAGTGTACCTGGAATGTAGGAAATGAGCAGGCCGATGGTGCTAAGGGTTGGGGGAGAAGACGGAAGGGATGAGGTAAGAAACAAGGGCAAGGGACAGCTTTCAGTTGGCATCTTCTTTCTAATGCTGGGTCCCTAGATCAAGTGCAGAGTCTTTGAGTGAGGAATTCCCTACGCACCACTGCCGCTCCCCCCCCCCCCCCCCCCCCCCCCACTCCTCAACCCCCACATGCCTCCAGGGACCCTACCTGCCATTTTTACAGCAGATTAAATATTCTCCCGCCATCAGACTCTCGACACAGGGGAGGGCACACAATTCTATGCTTTGAAATGATCACAAGGACCATTTTAACATTACAGAGATGGATTTTCAAATTTTCATAAGATTGCAATGTGGAATGTTGGTTTTAAACTTATATTTAGCAGCTATTGCTTCTGATGTCTACAGCATTAGATTTGGTCCAAAAATAAATTGAACTATGCTATTATATATTTAGCTAGGACTATATATTTAGCAGGCACAATCTCAATTGAATGCTCCATTTCATGGCTGTGGAAAAGAACAGAGAAAGTAAACCAGCAAACAGTGAAAATTATGGATAAGAAAGTCATATTGATAAATTGAATTAATATTGGTTCAGGGCCAGCATTTGCTTGGATTAAATTATTTATAACATTTGAAAGAGGACAATAATGGAGCAGTCTGTTGGATACAGAAGAAAATACAATCAATCCAATGATCGATACTTAATATAAAGTGCAATGTTATTGCAGAACTGGGTTACCTTCTACAACACCAGCCTATCCATTTGTAGGGATGTAACAGAATTAGAGGAACAGAGAAATTTTTGGTGCAGTTAGGGTATGTGCTTTAAGAGAATGGTGAGGCCATAAGGGAATGCAGTTTTAAACATTTAAAATTGAGTCCAATTGGTAACATGAACCAATGTACATTACCGCAGATAGGAGTGACGCGGACAACATGCTTTAAGGAGGTTGGAAAATGAGTCTCAAAGTTTCACTATCACAGAAGGCAGGATGAGATGGGGAATTTCTTTCTTAGACAGATATCCCCCACCCCATCAGTAAAAAAGCGACCAAATGCAATGACATTTGCACCAGGGTGGGTACAGAAAGGAATTGAGCCCATTGCCCCAAAAGCAGAGTACAGGTGCCAGGGTGGACTAGTTAAAAGGTTAGCTTCAGTTCTCTGGGACATTGTTGCAAATGTCCTGCAATATTTTAGGTCCTGTAATCCTTAACCATGCTTATGACCAAATCCACACCCTCTTCCCATGCCTCCGTTATCCCAACTCATTACCATAGCCCTTTATAGTCCCCATGCCAGCTCAGGGCAACTAATGCACTTCCCTGGTCCATTCGTCCAGCGCATACTGCATACAGAACAAGTGAGCAGTATAACAACAATGGAAAGAGTGGAAATTTGCAGAAAATAAAACATCCATTCATCTTTTAAAAGAGCAAAGACAAATGGAAAACAAGGATTGTGAGTTGTTCCATGCTAACAATTGTATGAAATATAAATAACTAAATTTTCTAACTCATTAATTTATTTGAAACAAAAGCTACATTTAGAAAATAAATCTGCTTAAATGTATTTATCTATATTGTATAGTTGTTCATCTGAGAATTAAAGTTAGGATTGGAAAAACATTGCACAGTCATGCCCATATTGATGTGAAAAATACCATAGTTGCTACTGACTGCATTTGCTTCAAGTGTCTTGAATGGGAAATCTGAAACAGATGCCTTCAAAGCCCAGAGTGGAGTTAAACAAGGCTGTGATAAAGCCCCCATAATACTGACAATCTACTTGCCAATGACTATACTCATCTCAAAGATCAACTGCTCTCACTACCATGAAAGGTGGCTTGAGTATTAAATACTGTCTAGATGGGAAATTCTGTAACATTGGTATCTTCCACACCAAAACTAAATTGACCACAGTAAGTATTGTCACAAACATATAATTATAAATTTGGTAAAGAAGCCTATTCTGTCTTTCTATGATGGATATAGAATCTTACAAGATGGCTGTTGTTGACTCATAGCAGCCAAACATGGACAGACTGATGTATTATCTTAAGACTGAATCAAAAAAGGACATTAACAAATTCAAGAAGTTCCAGGACTGTCTATTAAAAACTCAAAAGGCATGAAGACTCAACAGCTTTTGTAGTGTTGATCAGGAGATTGGAAGGACACTACAGGGAATTCCAGTACTTTGCTTTGTGGAATAATGATTCATCAAAGTTAACACCAGCAGCCATTTTGCTTGATCGTAATTAAGAACTGACTGAAAGAGCCATTAATTTCTTTTCAAGAGATCACAGGAGTCCATTCACCAGCTCTAGCTTTCACTAGCTGTGAACAGAATGTGAGAGCTAGGGTTTATCTCGAGCACTGGAAGATGAAGAGAAATGGTACCTGGAAAGCCTTGCTACTCTGATGAAAAGAACTCTAAACAATTTCCAAATGGCACGCCAGCATGTCTAGCAAAGAGAAAGATTATTTACGTATTCCCTGAAGCTGTTCTAGCTACTGAGTCTACCTACATAGACAACCTCTAACTAGAGAAATTAGCAGAGCTGTAGAATTCAGACTTCAACTTCTCAATCCCTTCACCTCAGAAAAAGAATCTTCAAGCAAGTAATGGGGCTTGCAGTGATAATAGGCTGATCTTACTTTAATCTCTATAAGTATCTTGTATCCATATTTGCTTATAATCTTTGCATCTGCATTTTTAGCAAATTATTTTTATTATTTTTATTTGAATAAATTACTGCAGTAGTTTCACAATAAACTACTGATAATCTTGTTTTAATGCTGATTAGTTTTAAATTGGAACTCTGCAGAAATTAGACTGGAGCTAAATGAGCTGTACAAATACACAAACTACTCTGAGTACATGCCTGGTATGCTCATGATAATATACATGATCTACAGCTTGTGGATGACGACAGTGTCATTGCCCACTTTGCATATGGTTTTCAAGCTACTTTTGATTGCTTCAATTCTGCATATAGGAAACCTGCCTTGTCCTTGAATGTTACCAGAACAAAACTCATATCAATGTATAATTCATCAGCCAAATATTTCACATTCCACATGTTAAAGGAGAGATTCTAGAATATTTTGATAATTTCCCATACCTTAGCAACCACCATTTTCAAAGGCCACCATTGATGAGGAGATAAGACACTGTCAGCTCATCCTTCTACAAGTTACAACAAGTCAACATAAGTCCGAGTGTACAGATAAGTTGTTGTCACCATACTCCTGAGTGGACTGACCATCACGTCCTAGTGTCCTTTATGAAGCTAGCTTCACACCCTTTCACAGAAAGCTCCAAAAAAATCAGTTTCAATAGTGTGCACTGGGTGCTCTCAATCGGAGAGGTCTGACAATGAGTTGGAGGTGTACTGCTGTCACTTAAAAATTATTGCTGTTACTTTAAATATTCCCACCTGTTCTAAGAAAAACATTGGAAAACAACGACTCCAACACTCCCTGGCTTCTGAAGAATGTCTGAAGTAGAAATAAGAAAATCACTACAGTAGAGTTCTGGATGGGACTAGGGTACAGATTATTAGTTTCAAAATTCAAGCAAAAATGCCCATAAGAATGAGTTGCACTGTCAGGTTTAATATTGGTAATGTACTATTAATAAAACAGTTTATAATTTGAACTTGGAAACACTGCTGCCTGGTGTTTCCAATTAAATTGACAATCAATATTTGAGCAGCATCAATCCTAAGGTTTTTACTGTCAACAGTGATCATTTGTGTTTATTCTGCTTAGCGATATAGAGTATCCCATGACATTATCTGCTTTACAACAATTAATGTTTGTAAGAATTCCTGGGTTATCACATACCATCCCCCCTACAAATGTCCACATGACTCCTAAGCATCTTGCAGCAACTAGACACAATAGCAATTACAGAGGTCTGACAACACACACATGTATCCATGTACACATACCTACATTAAAAGGCAACAGCATAACAGGATAAAGATTGAAGGTTTGACTTCCCTCAAGAAAAATTGAACTATATTCTGTACAAGTTTAATTTAAAGACAGATTTAATAAATTCATATGATTGGCCCAAGACCACAGCCTCCTCTCACTATTTCCCGTTCAGATGTTGGTGCATTCGCCGAGCTGGGAGGTTTGATAGCAGACAACCAGCACCGAGCTATAAATCTTCACTCAAGCCCTGAACTACTGATTTAGTTAAAGGTATTAATATTGGGTGACTGAGCTCTTGTGGTGATGTGGCAGTGTCCCTACCTCTGAGACAGGAAGCCTTTGTTCAAGTCCCACCTTGCTCCAGAAATTCATCTTAACATCTCTGAGTAGATTAATTAGAAAATATCTATAGTGTTCGGGTTTTGTAGAACATTGGTAGTGTCCCTACCTTCAGGCCAAAAGATCCAGTTTCAAGTCGCACTTAGAATTGTAGAGTCATACAGCATGGAAACAGAACCTTCAGTCCAACTAGTCCAGACCGACCACTGTCCCTAAACCAAACTAGTTCCACTTGCCTGTGTTTGGTCCATTTCCATCCAAATCTTTCCTATTCATGTGCTTATCAAAATGTCTTTTAAATGTTGTTACTGAATCTGCATCAGCCATTTCCTCTGGCAATTCATTCCACATACGAAGCACACTCTGTGTAAGAAAGTTATCCCTCGTCCTTTTAAAATCTTTCTCCTCTCATCTTAAAAATATGACCCCTAGTTTTGAACTTGCCCACCCTAGGGAAAAGACTCTTGCTATTCACCTTATCTATGCCCCTCATGATTTTATAAATCTCTATAAGGTCACCCCTTACCTCCTACACTCCACTGCATAAAGTCCCAGCCTACCTAGCCTATCTTTATAACTCAAACCTTCCATTCCCAGCAACATCATAGTCAATCTTTTCTCAACCCTCTCCAATTTAATAATATCTTTCCTATAACAGAGTGACCAGAACTGTACAAAGTACTCCAGAAGATACCTCACCAACGTCCTGTACAACCTCAACATGATGTCCCAACTCCTATTCTCAAAGATCTGAGCAATGAAGGTAAGAGTGCTAAAAGCCTTCTTATCTACCCTGTCTGTATGTGATGTAAATTTCGAAGAATTATGTACCCGAGCCCTTGGATCTCTCTGTTCTGCAACATTACCCTGAACCCTACCATTAATTATATAAGTCCTGCCCTTGTTTGTTTTGCCAAAATGCAATACCTTGCACTTGTACAAATTAAACTCCATCTGCCACTCCTCAGCCCATTGATCCAACTGAACCTGACAAATGTCATAACCTGTCTGAACAGGTGGATTGAAAATATCTGCTAGTGGCAGGTGCATTTGAAGGGCCAGATCACAGGACATAAGAATGTTGGAAGGTTCCAGTAGTACAATTCTGTCTAGCTTCCTAGATCCATTGAGCTGAGCTGACATGTCATCTATACAATTAAGCTATTTCTCAAAACAATAATGTAACCATTTTTTTTTACCAGGCTATTTCTTATATCAGAAGACATTTTCATCGAGAAAATGGAAGAACTATGATATCATTCAACCAAACAGAAGCTGTGTGTGTCTCTATAATAGGCAGGTCTAAAAATGATGTTTCTCAACAAAGTACTGCAGAAACTCATGATGCGGGTCAGGCAGCATCAGGGGTGAAATTATGGCAGGATTAACATTTCAGTCTGTGACCCTTAATTGGAACTGAAGAGTCACAGACCTGAAATATTAGTTCTAACTTCCTTTCTTCACTAATGCTGTCTGACTTGTGCGTGTTGTCAAAATTTTCTGTTTTCATTTAAATACTTCTGTCTCCTCCAAATCTGAGAAGATAATTGCCAGATCGTGCACAACTATGTATACCATTTCCGGAAGACTCTGGCTGCAAAATATAGTTCCTTAGCACTGCTGGTTTCACTGCTACAGGAGCCGTATGAAAATAAAATGTTGATGGGTTCACTTCAAACAGCTTCCAACCTGACTGTCATTAAGTGTGTTCAATACATAGGCCTCCTGAGCATACACCAGAAGCAGTGGGAAGATTGTGACATATATCGGCACCAGTTTGATGGCTGCCATTTAGAATCTTGCTACTTCTGTTAAACATAGGCAGCATAACATGCATGCAGCGACTGGCAGACATTCTGCATGTGCTATTGAAAAGCATCATCATTCAACTTTTGCTTTTGATTATTTACTTGGTGCTGCAGAACTATTGGGAAGCTTGGCTCTTGTAGGAGTGGTGCTGAGCCCTCCACTATTTTGCTATGCACTTTGGAAGGTCTCTGAGAATAACAAATTATCTCAGAAATAGGCCCTTCAGTTGCCTGTCCCTTAAGCAGAAACATCACAGGGAAAGAGAACAGAGACATCAGCGTAGATAAGGAGATATCAGACAGAGGAGACAGAGGACCACATTCATGAAGCATTTCTCCTACTGCCAGAAACAGTCCATTTGCTGGCTATTTTTCACCAAGGAGGTGATCACAGAAATATGTCACCTCCAACATGGATCTGCAGGGCAAGGACCGTGCTCCCAATTGCCATCAGGATGGCTCAGTTACTAAACCAATTGACCCTTCCAACTGGAACAGACACTGTAAAGAACATACAGCAATTCACCATTCATTTCCTTCATTGCAACTGCAATTGCATGTTATTAGAAGGGACTTCCTTAAGAAATAGGTACCAATTCTCTATAGAGAGGTGTACTGGGTCAGGCTCTGACAACATGCAGTTGGTATGTGACCATAGTAAGATTATCATGTCGGTGAATGCCCGGTAGCCTGGTAGCAACCACAATACTTGCATCCTGCTCCAGCTGTTTGGTGCCAAAGTCTATCCACCCACATATGCCAGATGACATCCTTCCACACCCTGTCATCCAAATGAAGGCCATGATGCAATAGCGAACATTGAGAAAAACATTATTTTGGTGTGCTCAGAACATGCCAGAGAGCAACTCCAACAACACCTGAGAATCTTGACGGCATCCAAGACAAAGCCACTCACTTGACTAGCACATCCACAAGCATCCACTCCTTCCCCCACTGATGTTCAGTTAGCAACAGTGTGTACCACCCACAAGATATAAAGCAGAAATTCACCAAAACCCCTTAGACAGCACCTTCCCGCAAACACTGCCATCTAGAAGGACAAGGGCAACATGGCAACACCACCACCTGCAAGTTCCCCTCCAGGTGACTCACCATCCTGACTTGAAAGCATATTGTTGTTCCTTCAGTGTTACTGGGGCAAAGTGAAACTCCCTCCCTAACAGCATTGTGGGTCTATCTACACCAAATTGACTGCAGTGGTTCAAGAAGGCAGCTCACCACCACCTTCTCATGGGCAACTGGAAATGGGCATTAAATACTGGCCAAGTCAATGATGCCCACATCCCATGAATGAATAAAAAAGTTACCTATACATATATATTCTTTCTATCTACATACTAAAGCCTAATAGCAACCATGTAAATACTGTCAATTGTCATAAAAACCCAAGTTAACTGAAGTCTTTTAGGGAAGGAAATCTTCCATCTTTACTTGGTCTGGTCTACATGTGACTCCAAAACCCACAGCAATATGGTTGACTCTTAATTGGCCTCTGGGGTAGTTAGGGATTGGCAATAAACAGTGGCCTATCCAGTGATGCCTACATCCTGTGTATGAATAAAAGGAAAATTGAATTGAATTGCTTTCATTTAATGTCTCAATTTGCGAGTGTAAAACAAATGCTAAACAACCTAAATTCAAAAGATTGCAATAATTTTTCTAACTTATCTCAACTTCACTACACCTGTACAATGTACAAATTTCTCCCTGGATGTAGAATGTATCCATTATAAAGTTACTCCTCCAGGGACAATGAAACTCACCATCACTTTCATTCCTAGGTGTCATTTTTCGGAGCTATGATCCATTCTGTTAAAATGTTTACGGTGAGCTCTTTGACCTTCTTGCTAACTAGCAGGAACATAAGTTTATGAAAACTTGGTTACAGTAAATTCCACTTTCCTCAACCAAGTAATCAATATATATTGTGAATAATTGTGTCTCCAGCACTGATCCCTGTGGCACGCACTTGTCACAGGTTGCCGTTCTGCAAAATACTGTCTGATGTGTAAAGGTGAAGTTGCCATAGTTGTACCAGACCATAGGGCTGCCCTCTCTTTAGAGACATGACTGGTGGTGGTTTAACCTGAGGATCACCATACCTCAGGCAAGGGGACAGATTGGGAGTTCTTCACATAACCTGAGCAGATGCAGGCATAGAACCCATACTGTTGGCGTCACTCTGCATTGCAGACCTGCAAACCAAGCTAACAATCCCCTGCTTATGTGTAGCACCTTAATAGATGCCTTTTGAAAATCAAACATATTACAGTCACCGCTCCCCTTTTATCTACCCTGCTTGTTACCTCCTGAAAGAATTCTAGTATATTTTCAAGCTTGATTTCCCCCTCATGCAGCCACAATGCCTCTGCTTCATTATTTTATGTATTTCTAAATGTACTGCTAATACGTCTTTTATAATACACTCTAACAATTTTCTAATAACAGATATTAAGCTAACTACTGTATGGTTACATGATTTTTGTACCCTTCCCTTTATAAATAAAGGTGTTATACTGGCAGTTTTCCAATTCTCTAGGACTCTTCCAGAATCTAAAGATTCCTAGAAAATTAGTACCATAGCATCCACTGTTTCTGGAACTATTTGTTTTAATGTCCTAGGATGCACCCTATCAGGTTCAGGGGATTTATCATTTGTTAGCCCCATCAGTTTCACTGCCACTTTTTCTCTAGTATTTGTAGATATTCCCTCTTCTCCTATTGCCCCTTAATTATGTAGTAATTTTGGAATCTATTAGTGTCTTCTACTGTGAAGACGGATGCAAAGCATTTATTCAACTCCTCTGTCATTTCCTGGTTTTCCTTTATTATTTTTAGCTTCATTTTCTAAGGGGCTTTTGATAACTTCGGCCTCTCCCTTTTTTAAGGTATTTGAATGCTCTTGATGTCTGTCTCGATATTATTTTATCCTCAAAGTTTATCTTCTCCCTCTTTTACTTTTGGTTGTCTTTTGTTTTATTTTAAAACTTTCCAAATTCTCTGGCTTACCACTAATCGTTGTCACACAGTAAGTTTTTTCTTTAAGTTTGACGTTATCTTAACTTCCCTGGTTATCCATAATTAACATATTCCCATCCTAGATCTTTCTTCCTTACTGGGATATGTCTTTGTTGTGAGCCACAAACTATTTTCTTAAATGTCTGCCATTGTTCCTCAACTGTCTTTGCTGCTAAGCTCCTTTCTCAGTCCAATCCAGCCAGCTTTGCCCTCATTCCTTGTCATTACCCTTATTTAAGGTTAACACAGTTGTTTCCTTACCTCAAAGGCCTGTTGAATCTAGCTTATTAAGTATATTCAAGACTGAGGTAGACAAATTTATAATTAGTTAGGCAATCAAGGATTATGGGAAAATGGAAGAACAGTGGAGCTGAGGATTATCACATCAGCTGTGATCTTGTTGAATGCCAGAGTGAACTTGATGGGCTGAATGGCCTATTTCTGTTCCTGTCTCTTGTAGTCTATAATCTTGTGGTTTGTCCCTCTCAAAAAGAATGGTAAATTCTACAATGCTATGGTCACTGTATCCTTGAGAATCTCCAACTCTAAGATCATTTATTAAACGTGCTTCATTACATATTACCAGATCCAAAATAGCCAGATTCCTCAGTGGGTACATAATAGATTGTTCTTAGAAATTGTCCTGAATACACTTTGAATTCTTCCTCATGGCTACCACTGCAAATCTGATATCCCAAACTACATGAAGTTTAAAGTCATCCATGATTGTTGAACTCCTCAATATTCTTGATTTATTCTCTGTCCTACTGTATAGCTACAATTAGGGTGCCTATAGGATACTCCTACCAGTGTATTCTTTCCCTTTACATCTTTTACCTTTTGTTTGTTTATTCACAGGGATGTGGACATCACTGACTAGACTAACATTATTGCGCATTCCTAATTGCGAAGAGTCAACCACATGGCTGTTGCGGCTGTACAAGACATTGATGAGGCCACTTTTGGAATACTGCAAACAATTCTGGTCACCCTGCTATAGGAAGGATGTTGTTAACTAGAAAGGGTACTGAAAAAGTTTACAAGGATGCTGCCAGGGCTGAGGGGTTTGAGTTATAAGGAGCAGCTGGATAGGTTGGGACTTTTTACACTGGAGTGTCAGAGGCTAAGGGGTGAACATATAGAGTTTGATAAATTCATGAGAGCTATAAATAAGGTGAATAGCCAAGGTCTTTTTCCAAGGGTAGGGGAGTCCAAAACTGGAGGGCTTAGGTTTAAGGTGAGAAGGGAAAGATTTAAAAAGGACCTGATGGGCAACTTTTTCACACAAGGTGGTGCGGGTATGGAATAAGCTGCCCAAGGAACTGGGAGAGGTGAGTACAATTACAACATTTAAAAGACATTTGGATAGTTACATGATTAGTAAAGGCTTAGAGGAATATGGGCCAAACCAGGCAAATGGAATTAGGTCAGTTTAGGATACCTGTTTTCTGTACTCATTAGAGTTTATCATATTTTTATGCTTTGTAACTTCCACTGCTCAGTAAATGAATAAATTTCTTGGCATGTAAAACTTCAGTTTGCACTTAATGGGGTGTGACTTCTGATAGATTACAGAAAAATTGTAGTCCCCAGATTATAGTAGACTAGATTCACTTACAAACATTGTTGAGCTGATGAGTGAGATACATGTATCTACAACATGAAGTTGCAGCGAGAATATTATATCTGCATCAAATAGATGGTGGAAAATCTAGAAAATAGGCCAGCTCCCAGATTTAGTGAGTTCCTGGTGCTTTAGGGGATCCTGCATGATACTGTAGGCTTCTCTCTGCCTTTCTCAGGTCAAGTGAGCAATGAAGGCTCCCAATATCATTGTCATTTCATTCCCAGTATTTTAGTAAATAGTGCAGGATTAGCAATGAGGGACACGTGGGCTCCGCCTAGGATTATGAATACTCTGAAGAAAGGGAAACTAATGAGAGCTTTGCGGTTGGGTTGGGGGGAGTTTAGGGAATGGGATGAAACCAATAACCCCACCCTTATGTTGGCAATGACAGCTTTTGGCAAAGGTGCATGTTCAAAACATATTTTTAGTGGTGGAGCTCGCCAAGGAATTCAAATTGATTGAATTTACCCAGAGAGCACACATTATACTGCAGCCAGCAGCTGAGGTCATTGATGGACCCAATTTGACAACATGTGCCTGGAGTTCCGGCCCATAGATTTTCAAACTCAAATAGTTTGCAACAATTACTTGTATGTATTTGCAGTTGTTATCATGGAATCATTTTGTCAGTTACAAGTAACTAACTAACTGCTAATAGCAGCCTGCAACAATCTATTAGTTGGATATATTGTAAAAGGAAAGTTTGTAGTGTAATTTACCTAGTCATTCTGTAATTATAAATTGTCAATTGATTGACATTATTTTACATTTCTCAGGCAACAGCAATACTTATGCGAATAATTGATTTGAAGCCCTTATACTTTACAAATGCTAAGTGCTACCTATTTAATCCAGGGTCAAAAAGCACACACGAAAAGCACGTTTACAATAGATAATAAAGAAAAGGTTGACAAAATTATAAATGTTATATAATGTAAAAATAAATTATATTGAATAAACACCATGACACATAGAGTGATTCAGAAATTTGATTAAGGGCTTTAGTTGTTACAAGTTTCATTTAATATCTGAGTAGTCAAATTGTACTTACAAATTGTAGGAGCTGAATTTTCTTTTCCTCAATCCTACGTAAACCATGACTACAGGAGGCTGAGTGGGATAAGTGAACACTGAGGTCAGAACTTACTGCTGTGTACCTCCTACATTATGATTTTGCTATTACTCACTCAGTGACTCCCTGGCCTCAATTCTATTGTGGAGAGGAATGGGAACAGTGCACACAAATCCAAAAGCAGACAGCCTGTAGGGCTGGAGCTCCAAAATTTGCACACTGGCCCAAACAACACAGTTGAATTTGAGTATTTGACAGCAAGATACAGCAGCTGGGGAACGAAGAATGTCCTGGGAGAGGGTTATTTTAGTTTAGATGGGGCTGCCCTGGGTAAGTGAGGCCTAAGCCCAAAGGTGGAGCCCAGGCTTACATGGGAATTTAAAAGAACATTTTAAATCTCACTGTTTCAGGCACTTTCTGGCAGGTCTGGTCTATCGGGGAAGTTGTCACTACTTCGCCACGAAAAACTCCGATCAAAATAGTAATTTGAGCCCAAATTGCATCATTACAGTTGAACATATGAACATAGCAACAAGGGAAAGGATTAAATCATTCAGTCCCTCAAGTTTGTTCCACCATTTAAGATGATTGTGGCTGACGTGATCATAACATCAAACTAACATTCCTGCCTACACCTGAGTTAACAAGAGTCTATCCACCTTTATCTTAAAAATATCCAAAGACTCTGCTTTCAACACCAAGTGAAATCCAAGTAGACAATGGCTACCCTTCTGTGCTCATCAATTTTCTTGGATACTTCAACAAAAAACTCAGTCAAGTTTGTGAGACACAATTTCCCTTGCACAAAACCATGTTGACTATCCTAATCATTCCTTGCTTCTCCAAATGTATATAAATTCTACCTTTCAGAATGACTTCCAACAACTTACCCACCACCAAAGACAGACTGACAGGTCTATAGTTCTCAGGCTTCTCCTTACATCTCTTCTCAAAGTCACAATATTAGCCACTTCCCAGTCATCCTGCACCTCACCTGTAGTTATAGATAACACAAATATTTCTGCAAGAGGTCCTGCAATTTCCTCCCTACCTTCCCATAACATCTGGAATATATTAGATCAGGGCCTGGAGATTTATCCACCTTTATATTTACTAAGACCTCCAGCACTTCCTCTTCTGTATTTTTATATGGCTAGATCATAGAATCCCTACAGTGTGGAAACAGGCTTTTTGGCCCAACAAGTCCACACCAACCCTCAGAGCATCCCACACAGACTCATCCCCCTAATCCACACATCCCTGAACACAATGGGCAATTTAGCATGGCCAATCCACCTAGCCTGCACATCTTTGGACTGTCGGAGGAAACTGGAGCACCCGGAGGAAATTCACTCAGACACGGGGAACTGTTTTCAAAATATCAATATTTATTTCCCTGAGTTCTTTAGCTTTCACTTCTTTTTCTGATTTTTAGATTCTCTGATAAAAGGAACCATTCTCTCCATACCTATCTGGTCAAGTCCTCTCAGAATCGTATGCTTTAATCAAATCACCTCGTATGCTTCAGAACTTTAGTGGATGCAAATCCATACTGTCCAATCTTTCCACAAAAGATATCTCATTCATAGCAGGTATTACTCTGGTAAACCTTTCCTGAACTGTCTTATAGGATTCTTGTCCCCATATGATGTCTCAAATGAAAATTGAAAGGCCACACCCTGCAGTCCTGACCTGGTGGTTTCATTTTGTGAGGGTAAGCAACTCATTTGTCCTCACCACACCAACCCTTGCACTCTCACCACACCAACAACCCCCCAACCCCCCACCCCCCACTACACCCCCGCAATTTTCTTTGATTACTCCTAACTTCTCAATGACTCATGGCCGTCAAAGAAATCATGTCCACAGTCTTGATTCCAGGACCATGGAAAAAGTAAGTTTAAAAAGTTTTTATCAGTGCCCTTCATTTCTCCCATGCTCGCTCCGTACTCTCTGCATGATCCCTGTATCTCTAAAACATCCTTACACCCCTTTTATGTGTCTTCCATTGCCCCCATGCATCTTTCCTTCCCTCTGCATTTTACCTGCCCACTCACCCTATGTGCACTACATTACAGAACCAATGGATCATACAATAACAAATACTCATGAAATAACACTCATTCAGAAACCTTCTCTTAAAAAAACTGCTGCTCTTACAACTTTATAAAAGCATCAGTCAGAAACATCCATCATAGTTTCAGTAACAGAAGCTTGATCCACTTCAAGTCTCTTAATCTCATGCAAATAAACCTACAGCAACTGAGAAAAGAGACTTTAAAAATATAATAACTTGTTATAATCTCATAAAGATATCAATCAGTCAAAGCCATCAGTCCACTTCAGCCTGTGTGAACAGATGCCTACTGAACTGGACTGTCAATGAGTCTCGGGCTCAACCAAACATCATAATGAAGCCATGTAGAGAAACCAAGGTTTGGCAGCTGTTTTTGTTGACATAGATAGTACCAGCTGAGGTAATTGGATCTTGAGGCCTGCCTCTTCTTCTCATTTTTGACATCATGGAAAGGGATAGAGATATGAGGAGGGCTATGATTATAACCTATAGACGACTGAGGATATTACATGAGAAAAAACAAAGAGTATAAGTGGAAGAGATGGGGAAGTGAGGAAAGCTCACCCTGTTAGTGAATAAAACATCAGATGCCATCAGTGATGACAAAGTAGAAAGATCTGAAAATCACAGAATGCTCATCAAACAGTAGAAAGTCCCGGCAATGACAGTTCCCACCAAAAGTGGTGGCAGAGCTTGAAGGTGGCAGCTCCATTTACTCATGCTGGAGAGGGGCAATAACAAAAGGTTTAAAAGTTTCAGGTATCGAGATCTGCAATTGGAGATTTAAAATTTCCATTCTGTCTCACATGAGATTTATGTGTACGAGGATGTCTGTTACTTTGTGTTCTGAAGAGTTTAAAAGGTGAATTGTTCATGCAGATATGTCTGTTACAGACTAAACTACTGCTTCACTAGTTTATGTTACTGCTGTAATATTTTATGAAGATGGCTTTCATTATCCTCATCCTTGCTGTTGCTTTTGTGGTGATAGTTCATGTTAGAATTGAGGTTTGCAAATACAAATGAAAACTCTTTGACCCACACAGCCTGCTCTGTTCTCACGTTCATCAGGGTACCTCTCTAATCTCAATGTTATTTCCTTCCCCTCCATATTTCACGGGTATATTGTTTTGGTGACTTTAAACATTACCAAGAGTCATGTATAATGAAATAACCCACCTGCTTTGTCTCTTACGAGTTAAGGTATCATGGTCAGAAGTTACAGTTCTGGCAGTTTTTAATTCTCCCCATCTAGGACAGAAGCTGATTGTAGTATCACTTGAGCTGAGTCGGTTAAATATGACAGATTAATGATTATCCAGTGTTGTGCCGAGCTGTGTGTTGCAATTTCTCCAGATAAACGATGTGAAACTGCAGTTTAAGATAAATGAATCCTCATAGTTTTTTTGCCAAAGATATTGGTTTAGTATCTACTGATCACTTTTCTGAATTATGTATATACATTAGAATTATTTTTAGTACTTGTTAACCAAAGGAGGAAACTGCTAAGAAAAATTTAGGGGAAGCAAGGGAAAGGAATCTGAAAGAAAAAAAAGATAGTTTTTATAATTGTCTTTTGTCTTCATCATTTTTCATTTTATTGAATTTCTGCAGTATGAAAAATCTAGGAGATATAAATTTTCGTTCTTATTAATAATTGATGTTTATACTCAAGTGTCACAGATAGAAACAGAAAGTAAACAATATATTAAGAAAAGCTTGCACTATATTTTGTCAACTTTGCCATTATAAGTT